CAAACCTGATGCCGAATTCTTCTTCATATAGTCCAACTTCTCAGATTATTTGCTCAGCATACAGATTGAATAAATATGGTGAAAGGATACAACCCTGATGCACACCTTTTCTGATATTAAACCACTCAATATCCCCTTGTTCTGTTGGAATGACTGCCTCTTGGTCTATGTACAGGTTCCACATGAGCAAAATAAAGTGGTCTGGAATTCTCATACTTCGCAGTGTTATCCATAGTTTGTTATGATCCACACAGTTGTATGCCTTTGCATAGTCAATAAAACACAGGTAAACATCTTTCTGATATTCTCTGCCTTCAGCCAAGATCCATCTGACATCAGCAATGATATCCCTCATTCCACATCCTCTTCTGAACACAGCTTGAATTTCTGGCTGTTCCCTGTGAATGAACTGCTGCAACCATTTTTGAATTGTTTGCAACAAAATTTTACCTGTGTGTGATATTAATGATATTGTTTGATAATTTCTGCATTCAGTTGGATCGCCTTTCTTTGGAATGGGCACAAAGATGGATCTCTTCCAGTCTGTTGGCCAGATAGTTGTCTTCCAAATTTCTTGGCATAGACAAGTGAACACTTCTAGCATTGCATCTGTTTGTTGAAACATCTCAGTTGGTATTCTGTCAATTCCTGGAGCCTTGATTTACGCCAATGCCTTCAGTACAGCTTGGACTTCTTCCTTCGCTACCCTCGACTTTTTGTCATATGCTACCTCCTGAAATAGTTGAATGTCAACCAATTATTTTCGGTACAGTGACTCTGTGTATTCCTTTCATCTTCTTTCGATGTGTCCAATATTTTGTCCATAGAATCCTTCAATATTGCAACTCGAGGCTTGACTATTTTCTTCAGTTCTTTCAGCTTGAGAAATGCTGAACGTGTTCTTCCCTTTTGGTTTTCTAACTCCAGGTCTTTCCACATTTCATTGTAATACTTTACTTCGTCTTCTCCAGCTGCCCTTTGAAATCTTCTGTTCAGCTCTTCTACACGATCATTGCTTCCTTTTGCTTTAACTACTCTCCATTCAAGAGCAAGTTTCAGAGTCTCTTCCGACATCCATTTTGGTCTTTTCTTTATTTCCTGTCTTTTTAATGACCTTTTGCTTTCTTCATGTATGCTGTCTTGATGTCATCCCACAACTTGTCTGGTCTTCAATCATTGGTGTTCAGTGCATCAAATCTATTCTTGAGATGGTCTGTAAATTCAGGTGGGATACAAATAACTTTGTGATTCTCAGGTCATGTAACGTTACCAAAGCTGCTAGCATTATTCCTTTCATTTTAAAAAGAGAAAGTGTGAATATTTTATGCAATTTGCTGTACTGTAGCAAAAGCGTCATTGGGGACAAATAGTTTGGTGTCCTGAGCCTCAAATAAGTTTTATTCTTCTAGATTCATTTTAGGGATCATCATTTTGAGCTCCTGGCTTTGGAGGAGTGAAACACTGTGAGCCCCTGGGCGGAAGGACGGAGGAGACCAGCTGAGGTGCTGTCATTCTGTATTATGGCCATGGCCTCTCATTTCTGAAAGAAATCTGTCAACTGCACACCCGCACCCACTCGTCCTCGTGGGTCTCAAGCCTCTCACCCCACCCCCTATAATTGCTGAGAGTAGGCCTGGCAGTTCAGCTGAGGCGGAGGGAGTGGAGAACTTTGAGATGGTGGCTCGTCCTTCCCAGCCTGTGTGCACGTCCACCCCTCGGACCAGAGGGTCTGTTCCCCCACTCGTTTCCGCCATCCATTCCTCCATTCAGTCACTCCATATGCGGGCCCACTGCGAGAGCTCCGTGAAAGAAGATCCTCGGTCCCTAATTCACGCTCTTCACCCCCCACAGAAAATCCCAAAGGTCTCAACCCCTCTTACACCCCTCCACCCTGGTGAACTTTCTTCCCAGACTCCACGATTCTTCGCAGCCGTTTGACCCCATTTCACGTTAAATATGCCAAGTCACAACCCTGGGGACTAGCGTGCGCTAATCACATCCGTCTGTCTTCGCAGAGTTTCACCTGAGCTCCGGGTCGTCGAGGACGGAGGAGCTGGGTGAGTCGTCAGCTCGGGTGGAGGGGTCTGAAATCTGGCACCTGGCTTCTGGCTGGGGAAGGGACTGAGGGGAGGCGGCCCGCGGTGCAGCTCCTGCGCGGCCGCCAGGTGCACGGTCCCCTGCAGTCCCTTGCGGGGAGAACGCCCTCTGGTGCCCCCGCGGCCGCCGGGCCTGGGAGCTCCGGGAACGCGCGGGGGCGGAGCTCGTCGGGCAGGATCTTGACGCGGGTCCAAGGCCGGGTGATTATTGGGGTCGGCCAGCGCCGCCGCTGCCCTGAGCCCTCGCAGTGTGGCGCTGCCCGGCGGCTAGAGGGTAGTGGAATGAAGTTACGGTCAAGACAAAAAACAAAGTCAGCAGGTCACCTGGCAGGTTCTGGGCGAATTATGCAACGAAAGCAGGGGAATGTTTGATGCGTCCCTCCTCTCCCCCCGCCCTTTTTTTTTTCCTTAAGCTCCTAGGAAGCCGGTTCCAGTTTAAAGGTTGGGCAGGGATCGACAGGGCTGCTCCTCTGATGTGGTTACAACTTTGCTGAACTCCTCAAGGGCGATTTTCCCTCCCCATCTTTCTTTAAGTAATGGGAACATTACTCTGAAAAAAAAAAAAATACGAAGGGAAAAAAATGCAGGCTTGATCCGAAAGCAACGCTAAGAATCAACCTACAGTTTCCATAAGGCACGGGGCCGAGCATTAGGCGAAAACAGAAACTACTAAACCCTAAGTTAAATAATCTCCACACGCATTCAATTTTTTATCTCCCCAGATCTCAGGACTATGCTTTCAAACGGAATTTGAAGAGTTAAAGCTGGCCGTAGTTGCTTGTTTTTCACGCTAACATTTGTGGCATTGGGACTATTCTGTTAACTAGGTATATGCAATTCACAGAATTTCACGGTAAATTCCCCAGACCAAATATTTGGCTGAACAAATAAACAACATTATCCATTCCTGAAAATAAGCCAGTAGAAGGAGGGGGAGGGGAGAGAGTGGTTGCTAGAAAGTGACCTGAGCTAGGCAGCCACCAGGCTCAGGACTGGGCCCTTGCTGTGTTAATTCCTCCAAGTGCTAGAGACGTTCAGGTTCTCTTTCAATGACATGGACATTTCAGAAAGTTGCTGGAGATTGGGCAAAACAAAACAAAGCTGCCTGAGGGGAACCCATAATGGGTTTCCCCGAAATGATTTATTCAAGCTCCATACCATTAATCAAAGGGGCAGCGACCTGGGGGGCTGGGGGGAAGGAACCCTCTTTGCAGGGAGTTTTGGAGAACTGTGGAGTCTTGCTGCCTTTGCCTGGGGCTCTGATCTCCTCTCTCCACCTGCGCTCTCCGGGGAGCTGGGGCTTTGGCAACCTCCCCACTTCTATTTTTATTGGTTTCCACTAAGCTGCTCCTTTTGGAGGATTGTAGGACTTCAGTAATTAAAAACAAAAACGAATCTTGCTTCACCCATTCCTTCCCCACCCCACCCCCAGCAACACATGCGAGAGCGTGTGTACACAAACGCAGGACATGCACATGCATCGTACACAGAAAAACAAACCCCAGGAATGTGTACCAGTCGTATTCTTTGGGTGCACACACACACACACACACACACACACACACGCACACACACACACACACACACGTACACACACACACCACCATCACTACCACTCAAGTCTACACCTTCATAACAAAGAAATACACTTCTATCAGCTGTCCCCACACAGACTATATAAAGACACTGCTTTTGCTCTAAACCCATCCAAGCATATGCAGGGGGTAAAAAAAATGCCCCTGAAAGAAATAAGCCTGAGCAGGCTAAGATTCCAGGGCTTAATTTGGTTGCCGGTGGTGGACAAGAAAAAGCAAAGGCCTCTCCTCTGGTCCTCTCAACTCCTATATTTATCTCATTCCAGAAAGCCATTTCTCTGCCTTGCTGGCACCCTTAGCTGAGAGAGATACCCAAGCACATTAGCATCATCCTTTTTCACTCTGACCAAAAAATGAGCTTTCTCCTTGAAGTAACCCTGGCTCAGAACATCAGACCCACCAGGTGTATCATTTTCTGCCCAGCTCTAGGGAAGGTGGGGGGCTAGGGGAGTGCAATGCAGAAAGGCCAGGAGAGTTGCCATTTGACTCAAGACATTTTACATAGAACACTTTTATAGTATCTGCTTAGGAATTCTAACCCCTCAAAGACAACCCCATTGCTCCCCACTACCCACATTCAGCCCAATCTGTTGGAATTTTGAATTTGATGAAAGCTTTCATGTGGGGAACAGTGGACAAAGGAAGAAATCAAGAAAAGCTAGAGAAGAATTCTATCATGTGACATATTAAAATAATGGTCACCAGTTTTTGAAGGTAGGGCACATTATTTGTCTTATTGGGTAAAACCCACTTATCAAAAAACAAAGACAAAAAAACTCCTATTTATAAAAAAAAAAAAAAAAATGCATAGGCACGCACACATTAGTACCTGAGGGTATAAATTTGTTCTTTTTGAAAATACGACATAGGTGCCTGTAATGACTGGAGACATCCTGGGGTATCATAAAGGCAGATGTGGAAAGCATTTCCTTGAGATATTTTTCCACCACACTTGGCTACTACATACCTCTAACAGGTGAGCAAAAACAAAGGATGTACAAGGAGCCCTAAACTGAGTCTTTAATCTGACCTACTCCTTTCATCCCACTGTTTCTCCAAGGCATGTGTCATCCAGATGGGAGAGGATGCTGCGTCCTTGTTAACATTAAATAGAAATGGAAAACAATTCATCCCTGGCAATTACCATCTCTGCCATCAGTTTACTTCCTGTTCCTCCAACTTAACCACCTCCAGTTACCACCCTCTGACTTCCATCCAGCCCCCAACCCCAGCGCAACATGATAAAATCTCATTCAAAAGCGATGAGGCAGAAGGAAAAGAGAACGGACCAAAGAGAAAAAGAACATAATTTACCTTTAAAATAATGACTCATTTTATTTTTTTCTTTTAATACGTAGTTATAAATATATTTTGTCAAAATATATGATCAATATGGTCAAACATTTGCACATAAAGTCATAAATAAGGTCAAGGTGAATGTTTAGGTTTTTTTTTTTTTTTTCCTTTTTTTTTTTTTTAAAGATAAAAGTCCAGCTATAAGGAAGCAGTCTGTGTAGTGTGTGGGTCCGTGGATGGGAATGTGTTTCTATGTGTACGTGTATGTGTGTGTGTGTGTGTGTGTGTGTGTGTGTGTGTGTGTGTCCCCAATGACTGCCTGATCTCAGCGGCACCCACATCCCTCTACCACCATCTCCTGATAATTTTTCAATACCACCTTGTCATACTCATCCAGATACAGCATGGAGATGGCGCTCAATTCAGTGGGCACACAACAGGCTTTGGGGATACTGGAATTGACAGAGTTGACCAGGGTCTGCACAATGGCGTGGTTGGTTGAGTTGAGGTGGTCAGCCAGTGGAAAGGGGCAGTCCCCATGGCAGTAGAAGGCTTGGTAGCCTGGTGGGGCCACAATCCAGTCATTCCAGCCCACGTCGCTGAAGTCCACGTAGAGCGAGTGGCGCCGGCAGTTCTTATTCTTCTTCCGGGCCCGCTGTGGGTGATGCTTAGGGCTACGCTTGACCCTCCGGCGACGGGTCAAGGCATGGCCCCGGCCATCATGGCCAAAGGTGACTAGGAGGGGCCGGAGCTGGGCCCAATCCCTACTCCCTTGAGGTAACGATCGGCTAATCCTGACATGCTGGCCCTGGTGGGTCCGTGTCTGATAGAGGTGAGTCACCTCAATGGCCAGCCCGTAGTTTGGCTGCTTCTCCCGGGTCCAGCGAAGGACCGCAGGGCTCACATCAAAAGTTTCCCACCGTGTCACATTGTGGTGGACCAGTCTTGTGTCCAGTAGTCGTGTGATGAGGTGCCCAGGCACAACTTCCGCCGGGGGCTTCATAACCTCATAAATGTTTATACGGTGGAAGCCCTGCTCCCAGTCAGGGCCCTGGTCCACCTGCTCCCGGAAGAGCCGAAGCTCAGCAGAAGAGATCACCTCGTTCTCTGGGATGCTGCTGAGGTTAAAGAGAAAACGAAAAGCAGAGTTTTCGCTGTTCCCTGGGATGTTCTCCAGATGTTCTAGACACAGTTGGGGAGGGAAAGAAAAAGAAAAAAAAAAGCACATGAACTTTTTTTTGCAAAGATAGAAAACTCAAGAAATATCTAAGAGTTGGATGATGAGTGGTGAATTCTGCTTAGATGTTGGAAGTCTATTTTGGGGAAAAAACTAATTTGAAGGAGCAGATAAATGAAGCAGCTAGCAAACCAGCAAAACTCAGCTTGCGTTCGGCAAGCACAAAAGACAAAAAGTATCTCCCAACCACATTTATATGTCTAATAATTTCCATGTGTCAACTCCCTACTCCACCATCATCAGACTCCCCTTTCTAAAATCTCTTGGCTTTGTGTACACAGTTTTCTTTACAAGTGGTTGTAAAGAAAAAGAGGGGCCAACAGAGCAGAGCAGGCGGAAACATGCACATAACCACCCTCTCTCTCTTCTTCTACTTTTGAGTATGTTACTAAACATTTCCCCAGCGATCTGGGAAACACAGAGCATGCCTTGTTGATCATGTTACAGAGGGGAAAATAAATTCCAACACAGTAATGATGCTGGTGGATTAATAACTTAGATTTACTTTGGAAAAGAAACATCCGCTAGGAAACATTCAGATCGGATTACAAGGCCCCTATTGAATAAACCTGACAAACACACAGCTGTAATATTAAATTCGGTAGGTGCTTTGAAAAAAATGGGCAGAAAACCTGGCAGAAAAGGCTTTGATATAGCAAAAACACACCGCTGGGGCTAGCCCACGTCTGAGTGGTGTCATTCCCCTTCCCCGAGCCCCTCCCCCTCTGTCTCCAAAAAATAAGTTCGGCAGCAGTTCTAGAAATTCATCGAGGGGAAACAGCTCTGTTGCCCAGCCTTCAGCCTTGGGGATTGGGGGCTTTGATGTAACAGGCACTCTCCTCCTCCAGCGTTTCCACTGCCCCTCTAGCCAGCCCCACTAACCCTCCACTGCCCAGACTCCCGGGCGGGGACTGACCTTCGTGGTGGAAGCTCCTCACGGTGTTGGCCCGGCTGGCAGGGCGCTCAGGGTACTCCAGACCAATGCTGTGGATCTGCTCTTCCTCCTCCTCCTCCCCCGACTGGAGCCGGTAAAGATCCCGCATGTAATCGGGGATGACGGCGCTCTTGCTAGGCTGCGGCCGGCGGCGCAGCCCGAACATCTGCAGAAGCGTCGCCTCGAAGTCCCGCAGGAGCTCATGGCTCTGCCCTGAGCGGCGTCCTCCCGCGTGGCCCTGAATCTCGGCGACTTTTTTCTTCCCCGTCTCAGGTATCAAACTAGCATGGCTCGCGCCTCCTAGCAGGACTTGGCATAATAAAACGACCATCAGCATTCGGTTACCAGGAATCATGGTGTCTCTGGGGAGGGGGTAGGGGTAGAAGGTTAAAGAATGAACACCAATAAATAGAGAGAAACAGAGATGTCTCGGCATATGCATATAGGTCTGGAAATGGAGGGTCAAGAAGTAAAACAGGTCAGAAAGATCAAGTTTGTGTCTTCTCCCTCACACCCGCCCCCCTTACCACCAGCTGCAGCCATGCACGGCCTGAAAGTAGGAATTGCCCTGTAATTACTTGGTCTAACTTGTTTACAGTCAAATAACCCCAAATCAGATAGCCTCCATCCTGTTAATCTTTTTTTGTCCCAACTGCTATCTGAGCCATGATCTCAGCTTGGCTTCTTCAAGGATAAACAGTTAACATTGAGGGGGTAAAAACGGGTGGGGGAGGGAGAATTAAAATGCCATCGCTCTCGACTTCAGACCTTCAGCCTCTCCCCCCTTCCTCCACCGCCCCCCCCCCCCTTCTCCGCCCTCAGAGCCCAACTTCCACAACTTCCAGCTGGTTCAGAGAGGAAGGGAAAGCAGAGAAGCAGAGGCAGGGCGAAGACACAGGGTGGCAGGGTCCAGAGACCAAGGAGGTGGTCTGGGGGCTGCCGGGTGGCTTGCTGGTTTATTTTATTGTGGCCGATGAGTCTGAAGTGCCCAGCAAAAAGCATCTGATCAGGCTCGCACTCTCACTCCCTGGGATTGCGGGGCCGGAGGGGGGGCGATTCCCAAACAACCTCTGTGAGTTTTATCAAATGGCTGGGAATGCGCCACCGGGCACTGGGCGCTCCCTAGGCAAGTAGGGGCGGAGGAGTCCACAAGGTACAACCCCGGACTGCCGAGTTTCCATCTCTTTAGTTCCCTGGAGCTCCGCTTTCTTGCAACGTACCGATCTGAGACGGCGAGAGGGAGCAAGCAACCGGTGCGCTCGAGCGCGCCCGGCTGCCAGGCAAGAAGGGAGCGACAGGGCAGGGCGGCCAGAGAGCGGAGCCTGACCGTTGGAAGGAAGGTCCGAGGGGAGGGACAGACGGCGAGCATGGGTGGAGAGGGCAGAGTGAATTCCCGAGCATGAGTGGGGAGGGCAGAGTGAGTTCCCGGGAGGGGGGAAGGAAGAGGTGTCTACTCACTGACAGAAAACAAGGCATATAATAACAGTCCATGATTCTTGACAGCCAATCTTGAACAAACTTGCTGGAAAGGCTCAGATGAGCTGCGGCAGTGCGTTGCTCGGGATGGCACTACGGAATGGCTCCTAAAATGAATATTTGAATATAATGAGACTCCGGCGCAGACAGGCTCTGTTTTTCTTCCAGCCCCTTCGAGTCACGTGAACGCAGAGGCCCCGCCCCGCGCCCAGAGGAGCCCGCCCTCCCCGAAGCGGGCGGCGAAAGGGCCTGCGCGCCCTCCCCTCTCGGTCCCCGCCCCCTCCTGTTGAGGCCAACCTCAGCGCCGACCGCCCGAGCCTCAGCCGTCCGGGAGGAACTCCCGGCGGCGCTACGCGGAGCTCTCGGCCGGTCACTGGCGCCAGCGCGCCCCTCCGGCCGCGGACACCCCGGACACAGCGTAGAGATCACTGTCCTCGCCTCTACTTGCCGCGCGCAGTGCGCCGTGCGGTGCCTGCGCCACCGCGACCTGAAGCCGGAGGCTCTGGGGCGCCCTGTAGGGTCTACGCCTTCCAGCACGAGCCCGGCTCAAGTAGGTCCGGAGCTGGGGCGGCTGAGTCTTGGCCACCCGAATACTCACCACCAAGAGGCAACTGAAAAGGAAAGGTCTGAGGAACCCTTCACACACTTGCACGCACGCATCCCGCCACTTCCTCCCTGGGGCCTCCGGGAGGCCAAATATTGCTCCCAGGGACAGTCAGTCACCCCGGCAAACGCCTGAGAGTGTTCAGACGAGCAGGGCAGCCGCTTTAGCTCCCAGCCAAAAGCTGCTGACCCTGTCACGCCGGGGCGGGGGGGAGGGCAGAGTTTAAGGGGTGATCGGGGTGGGAAGGTGGAGAGGGAGCGGCCGCTAGGCTATTTTCTCTGGTTACTTTACGAAGAGAATCCCCGCACCGCTGGAGACCTCGGGCCCACCCCACCCCCGCTTTCCCACCCCCCAGCAAAGCAAATCCCCTAAGAAACCAGTTGGCAGAGCGGTTCAAGGCAGAGGGGTGGAGGCCGGGGCTCACCGCTCAGGGCGGATTCAAAAAGAGGCATTGCCGCCGACAGGGCGCATCACATTTTTCAGGTCTTAATGTCGCTGAGGTTTTACAACTCCCGACCCGGCGCAGAAAGAAAATCCCACCACTTTCCCAGAAGTCTACAAAACCGTGTACAACTTTCGGCCTGCGCTCGACCTCAGCGTCTGCGTCTGAGCCTCTCTCTCTCTGGCTTGGATCATTTTTTAAACCACCACTCCTCCCCCCACCACCACTTCCTTCCCCCATCCCCTTCCTCCTTTGCACCAGCTGCAGAGTCACAGCAAATATTCCTTCAAGAATTTTACCAACCCACAGCTTAAGGAATTACTTGGATGTCCTGACTCTAACCGAAGATGCTGCACGCGTGGGTCGCTCAGCGCAAGGGACAGTTCAAAAACCCTCACCCGGTGCAACTCTGCGGTCACAGCAGGCTCGCGCGCCGGGTCACCCCAAGGGCCTGAGCCCCACGACTCACACCCCAAAGCCCTGGACCCAAAAGCCCCCTTCCCGCCCCAATCTATTACCCCAGCCTCGGTTTTCTGAGGCTGTTCCCAGTTCCTGCCTTTGGTCGCTTCAGAGCGCGAGGGCTCTGGCTGCCCCCTTCATTCTTCTCCACAGACTTGGTTTTCTTTCGGGGGACACTCACGGGAAGCCTTTAGGGAAGAGGAGAACAGGATCGAGCAGCTCGGCCCTCATACCGGGCCGCGGCCGACCCGCGCCGCCCGAAGCTGCAGGTCGGGATGCAGAGGCCGCGGGCGTCCCTGCGCGACCGCCCGCGCCCCGCGCTTGGCGCGCGGCTTTTCAGTGGCCTTTGGCTTTCCCGCTCCCGCGCCACCCTGGGGCGGACTGCGAAAGGGCTGCGGATGGCAACTTTTTTTTTTAGACGTCTCCCTTGAAAAGCCCCGTGGGGGGAGCTCTCGAAATGGAAAAAGCAAATAGAAACGGACAGGTCCCCGAAGGGTGAGCGGACAATGGAAGGGGAGGGCGCCCGGGATCCTGGGACAATCCTCGGCCCCTGGGAATCTCCCAGGGCGGCGGCGGGAGGGCGCGTTGTGCTAAAACCCAGAAGATGTGGGAAGAGGGAGGCGATGTTTCAGTTTCGGAATTAGCAGGATTTCTCTCTAACCAGTTTTAAAAAACATAAATAAATCTTATAAAAATTAAAAGATAAAGGGCGAAAAGACAACTTTTCGCCCGGATCTTTTCTTGGGGGGAGGGGGGGATGCAACTCCTGGCGGGTGTCCTTCACCTCCATGAGTCTCTTCCCAACGCCGAAGTTTATTCAGAGGTAACCTCATTTTACCGAACGTGTGTCGTTTGGGTTTTAAACTCTCACAAAGCGTTCAGCCCACAAACTGCGGTCTTTGCCAACCATCAACCAAAACGATGTGCAGGCGTCTGAGGCCGCGCGCCGAACTCCTGCGCGGAGGGGTCCACAAGGACTCTGGAGTCCCGGGACCCTTTTCCATCGACTCCGGGCAAGGAAGGCCAGGAAGAGTAGCGCGTCTGCCGCTCGTCCCTCCAGAGACTGCCCACAGGACACAAAACCGCAAGACGCGTCCCCAGAGTCCTTGGCATTGCGGCCACGGTCTCTACAGACCCTACACTGTGAAATGATATGGGGGAGGCTCCTTGTATGTCGCAAGCCCCCGAAAACTTGTGGAGGAGGCGCGTCCTGCAGCGGCAGGTCGCAAGCTCTCCCGGGCGCCTAGACGGCACCCCCACGATGCGGCGCCTAGCCGGCACCCCCACGACGCAGCCCCTCCCGCGGCGCGCACGCTCTAGAGGGCAGAAGGATTGCGCGCCACACCGCAGAACCAGCTCTGGCTAGAGGTTCTCTCTCCATCTTACCGCCCCTCATCTTCTTCAAACCTCAGAGCTGGCGCTCTCTTTCCTCTCGCAGCCCTTCCCGTCGGGGGGTCCACAACCGCCCAGCCAACAACGCGTTCTGCTCAAGACCCTACAGTCTTTCCAAGCCCGTACTAAGGGCTTCTCTTCTTTCCTTCTCTCTTCCCCCCCGCGCCGCCCAAAGGTAGAAATCGCCCGCGGCCGCCCAACGGAGAAGGTGGCTTGGGTAGTGGCAGTGCAGATAATGTCTTATAGCACCAGCATCCCCACTTCTAGCACCATCGTTGGAAAGAATTAGGCCACCTTTTGCCTCGGCCACAGCCTGTACCTCCCTCTCCTCCGCCCAAGGATGCGCCTCGGCCCCCTCGGCCCGGCGCTCCTCGCCAGGCAGCGTTGCTCACCATAGGTCCGTGCAGTAGCGGGCTCGCCAGCAGCTTCTGGGGACCTCTGCACAGTTGCAGTGAACCTGGACGAGGGCCGGGGACTGGGGCGCTGCAGGCTCGAGACGGCTCGGACGGGAATCCCATCAAGGAGAGAGGCGAGATACTCGGCCCGGAGCAGCAGCGGCGTCTCAGTCTCCTGTCCCTCGGCTCGGATGCCAAACTCACCTAGCTTCCGGGCTGGGCTCTGCGCTCCTTCCCTTCTTCCCTCCCTTCTCCTCTGCCCACTCTCATCTTCTCCTTCTTCCTCTTTCCCTCTCTCTCTCTTTCTTTCTTTCCTCCTCCTCTTCCCCCGCAGCCCCTCCCTTCTTCCCTCCTCCCTCGCTCGCCTCCCTTTCTGGGGATGCGAGCCCCGCCCACATCCTCCCATCCAGCCGCCCGGCCTCGCCTTCGAGGCCGGGGTCCCGGAAGCCCGGGCAGCGTCTTAGTCCGCAGATGCTGGCTGGGCTGGGACGGCGCTGCCTTCTGCTCCGGGAGGCGGCCGGGGCTCACCTGGGGACCACGTGCAGAGGTACTAGAAAGCATGCACCGACTAGTCGCCGTGCCTTCCAAAAATACCCATGGGAGTCTGGGCTTCCCTGAGTTTAGAGTAACTGCTGCCCGAACTGATGATTAAAACACTGAGTAATCACCATTTACCCCGAGTAATTAGAGATAATGAAACACGTCTAAAATCAGGTTATGGAGAAAGGAGCTGTTGGATTGGTTTAAAGGGTGGCCTTCCATAAATTGTTAAAGGATTTCCAAACGTTGAGAAACAGGCTCTGCTCCGAGCTGTATGCCTGAAAGAAGTACCTCTTCGGCTATTAAAAGATGGCTTTCTTCCAAAACATTTTTTAAGTGCTTCTTGTGGAGATCCTTGGTGATGACCCTCAGAAAGACAGTCCTAATAAACCAGCGAGCTTCCCCCTCCCCCCAGACCTCACTTTTTTGAGAGCAGAGGTAACTTGGAGATAGGCTGGGACCACGTTTTTGTTTTTTAGGGTTTGTTTACAGTTAGAAAAGATTGTTTATAGCTCAGAAGCCTTCCTAAGAACTGCCACAGCAGTTATTGTTGCTGTTGTTGATTGAATTTTTGTTTATTCCTGGCGCTCCTAGGAATCCTTGAAGGTAACAACTACAGAAGCAACAAGAAAAGATGCCCTTTGGTCTGTTTTTAAAGGAAGAAGGGGGATGAGAGGCCTTTCATATAAGAAAGTGCTAGTAATCATATTAGCAGGGAGGTGGAATGTGGTGGCTTTAAAACCTTCCCAAACAGGAACTAATTTCACACACAGTCTCTGATGGGCTGTGAGGGAGATATCAGCATCATCTCTCTGTTTTACAAACAAGGAAGGGGAAGGACAGCAAGGTTAAAGGGACTTACCTAAAGCCTTGGAGTAAATCACAGCCTTTGCTCTGGAGTCCTGAGCTAATGCTGCAGGGCGGAGTTGAGGGTCACAGACCTAAGCTCCAGGTAGCCAGGGGAGTCCTGGAGGGTTGAGCATTTCTTGTCCTGGATTTCTCTTGCTGGCATAGACATTACACTTCACTGTCTCAGCAAAGCATTTAGGTCTTTACTTAAACAGATATTGGCCCTGGATAGCTCATCTATAAAAACTTTACATTATACACACCTTCAATATTGAGAAAAACAGGAACTACTTCCTGTTTGTGCACACAAATGACAAAGGGTGGAAAGTGCTCCAAATCAGAGAAACAACTGTGAGAGCAGGGCCACTGCAACGTGCCATCTGATGAGGCCTTTTAGCCCAGTAACGTGTCAAACAACAGAAACAAGCAGTGTGGCTGTGGGCATGTCATCTCATTCCTGTGGACCTCAGTTTTCTCATGTGCAGAATGAAAGAATTAGGCCAGAGAATCTTCATTCTTCCTTCCAATTTGACAATTATTATATTATTTTATCGCAATTTTATTAAACATCTGCCTTCTTTCATTTTAAATCACTCCCGAGCCCACCTCTTCTAAGAACCTCTAATTAAACACAGTAGGGCAATAACTCCACCCCCAAGGGATGACTGACAATATACCTCCAGCTTCCAACATAATCAAAATTACAATTAATTATTAATAATAACAACACAAAATTAACACTCCATTAAATAGTTACCTGATGTCCATCCTGCGGCATTAGGCAGCATACTCCTTCAACTTACTTTCTGCCTGGAGTAAGGACAGATTAAATGTTTAGTGAGCCCCCTAAATCAATCACTGTAGTTTTAATCATTAACAAAATGTGTTTCTTAATCTTTAAACTCAGAGACAGTAGTGATATTCTGTGCTTAAAATCAGGGTTTTATTTTATTTTAAAGCACTGTATAGTTGGTGGGTTTTTGTTTTTTTTTTTTTAATCTCAAAGGTTTTTGATGGTAGAGGTTATCCCATTTTGCTGAAGCCCAGACAGTGAAGTGGCCATTGGCCAGCCCATGATTCTGTGAAACTCATAGCCTAGGAGTTTCCATTTAAGGCCCCTCACATACCTACATTAGACCCTGATCTTTAGATGTGTGGTGGGGAGAACACAGCTTCAGATCTCTTGGACGGCTTTAGTTTTATCCCCAGGTTTTAGATGGGTGCAAACCATCTAGTATCAACTCCTTTTGCCCACTCCTCATCTCCCTTCTTCTTCTTCTAGCTCATGCCAAAGGGGGAAAAAATTGTTGGTTAGAAAACTAAATCCATCATGGCCCAGTGATCAGAGTTGCTGAGGGGAATTGGTCCAGTTCTTTTCTCCATCTCAAGCCTACCTCTGAATGTTGCTGTTTTTAGAGAACATAATATAGGTGGACCAAGGGAAACTGGAACCGTAAAGCATGAGGAGAAATCCATCATAATTCAGGAGCAGCTATTGCTTTTCTGCTGAATGAAAGTGTTCATTTGTCGAGGTTTTCCTGCAGAGCATCATGAAAGAGTAGTTGGACAATAAGCCCTTAGCGTAGCCTTTCTCAAGGTATGTTGTGAGACCATAAGCTTCAGAACAGGTGTGGGGGTGCTGACGAAATGCAGATTTCCTGACTCTGCCCCAGATCTGGACCTAGAAATCCGCCTATTTCACAAGGTGGTGATTCTGAACACACAGAAGCTTAAGAACCGCTGTTTTTGAAGTACTTTCACATATTTACAAGGCTGATTAAAAAAAACCATTGCCGTAGAGTCAATTCCGACTCATAGCGACCCTATAAGACAGAGTAGAACTGCCCTATAGAGTTTCCAAGGAGCACCTGGTGGATTTGAACTGCCAGTCTTTTGGTTAGCAGCCTTAGCTCTTAACCACTACACCACAACAAGGCTGTTAGATACCATAAAAAAGCTGACATCAAGAAATTATTAAACAGGCAAGGAACGCTCTTGGCTTGTGTTTTATAAACTGTTAAATACGGTAATTACAGTATTAACTATCCCCAGAGCACACCAAATAGGTCTATGCAGGTGCAAAGATTCCTAGTCCTATAGGTGTAGTAGTCCTTGCTTCTAGGTCATCTTAACAACCAAATCAGGTCTTCAAGCATTCTTTGCTGACTGTCTGCTGAAGCCATGGAGGTGTACTTTGAAGGAAATCCCCACATCATTGCTAGCTTTTGAGAAGCAGTAAACTAAATAAATGCTTGCTGAATTGGAAAGGGGTCTGGGAAGCTGGCCAGTACCACTACTTTTTCTCTTACTAATATTTACTGTTTGTTCCATATTTGCGCTCTAGCCCTCACAACAAACCCTCATAAAATTCTGTTCTATGGATGAGAATCTGAATATCAGAGAGGTTACATAAATTGCTCAAAGTCATAGTCTAGTAAGTGGTAGACCCAAAATTCAGACCCGGTCATTCTGTTTTTCCCTTCAAATTCAGTGAGTGGGGCCTGTAGGGGAATGGATGACACGGCCTCAGCTCCTGATTAAGGAAGGCTTGCCCTTAGTTGTTCCTGAGGCCAAGGCGCCAGCTGCTGCTCCATCCTTGCAGCTTGCTGTTACAGGGAATCTCAGCATATCTTCCCAAGTTCTTAGAAGACAGAACAAAATTAAGCTTCTTTGCTTCTGATCTTATTACATAACCTGCCTTAGCATGGGATTTTATGTGGCCTTCCCAAGAAAAGGTTGTAATCTTCAAAAAGAAGCTACTTATCTGTGCTGGGTCTGTTTCTTCACTGTAGAATGTGAGAGTTGAGCAGTTTCCTCACAGGTCTTTCTCAGGCCCCAGGATTGAGCGGCAATATATCCTAATAATTAGAATCATGGGCAAATTGTTTAACCCTTCAGTGTCTTGGTTTCCTCTTTTATAATCTGAGAGTAATATTTTCTATTTCATAATGTTCTTCTAGGCATTAAATGAGCTAAATGTGGTAAAATCACGGGCACATAAGTGCTCAATAAATATAAGCTATTATTATTTCTTGCAAAGGCAGTGACTGAATAGACTAAGTAGAAGGTAGAGAGCCACTCTGGTATTGAGTAGTATTTAAAGTCAATAATAAATATTTTTTAAAGAAGGGGTTATGTTTCACATTTATTTTGTAATCCCTGGTGCTGCACCCATCTCAGGTATTTATTGAATAAGGGACCTTGTTTACATGATTCAGCATTCACTGAGTTAACACTCATGATTTGTCTGTATAGATCTAACCCAGGTACATATCTCCGCCAAGATAACTAATAAAAGTCAAAGTGGACACTTATACCTACTGAGAGCAAGCAAATAAGAGACTAGATGACATGTCCAAAGTGTTTTCCTTCTCTAATTTTTCTGATCCCTAAAACTCCTTTAAAGAATGTTCATCTATCTCTCTTGCTAAAACGTAAACCCATTTCCTTTTTCCTAGTTTGAAGAAAAAATTTTAACCCAACTGCACAAGTTGTTCCTTCTCCAAACAATTGAGACTGTTGTCGAGCGTTGATATACCTCCCTCAAAGCTAAATAACACTGAAATCTATTATTGTTCTCATGAAGAAAATAAAATGCAATGCTATTTCATTTCCCTAGGCCTTTGCCTTGCTACTATCTGGAATATGGTTCTTTTTTTTTTTCATCCTTCAAAACAGAGCATCAAAAGTAGACAGGGGGCTCTGATAGAGACCCCCAGCCATACTGGACAGATGAAAAGACTGCTTTTAACATGTGGATTGCAGACGAGGCATGGATATGGAAATTCCTTCTTTTCTAGGGAAGGGTTATCACAAGGAGGAAAGGGATTGGCACACAGTAAAGGATATTTGGCTCCCCCCCCCCACCCCCGGTTTTAAGCTTCCCCACCTTAAAAAAAAAGTCACTTGCTTCCATCTAATTCTACAGCAGGGAGGCTGTTTGGAAATAAAT